CCACTGAACTGCAGATAACAGTCAGCTGAAGTGGCCTGCAGTACTGCACCCTAACCCCTGCGCCACTTCGGCTCGACTATAAGAATTGCCCAGCTGGGTCAGTTCTACCCAAGGGGGGTGGTTTGATTTGACTTTTGGTTTTGCTTCTCCCACTGAGCATGTCTTGTTCTGGATCCTCTGAAACCTTGAATTAGGTATGAACTGTTGTGTGTGCACGCACACATACCCAGAGGAGTGATTGTCTCTCATTCTGTTTCCACGCTGGAAGCTCTGCTACTGATCTGCCTGTTCTCCATAACTACTCACAGTGAAGTCTGCCAAGTTGAGTGACAGATTATTTTGTCACTTTCCCAAAAGGCAGAATCTCTCTGCCTTTAATGAGATGCGTAATGGGTTAGAAATACAGGAAGTTATGCTTTTGACAGCACGGAATTCGTGAAAATGCTGCCTGCCTTCCATTGCAGCCTGCCTTACACACATTAGGTGCCTACAGGTGTGCCCCCCCCAAAAGGGGGGGGAGGGAATGAGAACCCATATGTGAGTTAAAGTTCTGCTGTTTTAATAGGAAAACCTCCCTCATTGGGGAATCATACAAGTCCTGGAGGAAGAAAAGTTTAATTAGTTTTGATGCAACGGATGAGACCTTTCCTGGTTCGCTTTTCAGTTGTCTGCAGCAGAAATTAGATGGTTGATGAGTGATGCGAGATCGAATCTGGATTGATCACCACAACCAGAGATATATGCTTCTGAGCTTTAGGACTCTTGCTGGAGCCCGTCTTCAGGGAACTTCTCTCTATCGGAGTAGCTGCTTTTGAGTCGTCTTTATGTGGTGCCTTCCTATTGGCTGATGGGTGTGTTGATGGCTGGCAATTAACTGTCATTTCCTTGTGCTGCCAAGCCCTCAGATCCTAAGTGCTTGATAATAAGCTGGTGGTAAATCAGCACATCTTTCAACGGACAAGGGGCCCAATTCCCAGGCTTCAAAGACAGCTTTCCCTGGCTATCTTTTTGTAGCTGCATAGCCAACGATCTCAGTAGCTGCAAAATTAAATGAGTGTCCTTATTCATTGCAATGTGAGGCTACCAATGAATTCAGGTATCCTCGTCTGACCACTCACTTGTGTTCTTCCAGTCTGGTGCTGGAGTCTGATCCAAATTCGAGCATTGTTGTCCTGGAACACGTACAGTATGTTTGCCTTCATTCGTGCTTGATGGGTGAATGTGGGCAGTAGAACTGGAGAGAACTCTGTGCTAAAGGGATTGTGATCTATTGAAATCCGTTACAAGATTAGTCCAGGTAAACTCTGTGGTCAGTCGTTTCTTCAGTTTCGGGAAACCCAACTTCACTTCCCAATTTCCCATCCACATTCTTCCTCTTGAGATCTCAAATACTACCATTTCTAAGAATTCAGGAATTGTTCACTCTCCTTTTCATCCTCCATCCACTAGGAAACATCATCCAATCTTTTGCCTATGAGAATATTAGTATACCTTGTGCTGCTCCTTCCTGATATGATAGCACGTAATTTGACATCACTCCTCTGTGACATCACTGGGTGATCTTATATCCGGTCTCCAAATACTGTAGCTTTTGGCACCTATTGTGATGTCATTGCTTAAGCAGTTATCAGATTCTAGGAGGCTGTTGCCAGAGATTCATTCTACTTTTTCAGCGGGTTAGAGTAGCAAGGCTAAAGACTGTGTAATACGGTACACAGTGAAAGGAGCAGAGAGCCAAAAGCTGGGATCCAAGTCTGTAGCTTTACATAAAAAGTCAACCTTAAGAAAGACCAGTTGACATTAAGTGTCTGGAAAGTTCTTGTATATCAGCCAAAAAAATTCTTCTGTGTCTGGTGGATTTTACAAAACACTACTAGAGGTTAGCCAAGGAGTGAAGTGGAAACTTACCTGAATTTCTGGAACCAGAGAGTGCATAACTCTAGTTTTCTCCTAAGAAACAAAAACAAATATTACTCTTTGGGAAGTACAGATCAAGGCATCCTGGTTTATTTCTAAAACCAAATACCTTCTGCTGATTAGATGCCATTATATGCTGGGCAGACTTCCCAGATATAAGCAACTGAAATTCAGAATATTAGAGATGAGTTACTGCAGTCTCCTGTTGAAGCCATACGAAGAGAAGTTTTAAAAAGCAGAAACCTAATACCATCAACCGAATATTTTTCCATTGGACATTGGGATTGAAACCTGGAAAAGTTGATTTATTTCTGAAGTCTCTGAAGCCACAACCTTTAGCAAGCTGGTGAGGACAGAAGCATTACAAAAAGGAAATAAGCTGGCACTTTTCGGTACCACTCTTAAGCGATAAAGGGTCCGCCCTAGGCAAAAGCCCCGCCTCCCCTGAGTTGCGATGAAGTGTTCTTTGCAATTTAGCCTGGTGTGCGTCTTGGTTTGCTTGCTGCCTTCCACTGTCTCCAAGGATTGCATCTTTTGTGAAATTACTGCCTCAACAACATGTCCTGGCCTCAAGATGAGCTGCGCTGAAGACGAAGACTGCTTTGTGGGCGAAGGGGTTGCCTTGGGGGTTTCTGACGTCCAGAATAAGGGGTGCACCCGCTCCATCAATTGTGGAAAAGAGCAACCTGTTGCCTACATGGGTGTCACCTACAGCTTGGTCACCAACTGCTGTAAGGGGACCATGTGCAATGGGGCTCAGCCTCTGAGAGGCCCTTCCCTTTTCCTTCAGTTTGCCCTCATCGGCTTCCTGAGAGGGTTCCTCTAATTTAAAAAAAGTTTCAAGCAATAAAATAATCAGGATATTTTTGGAATGTTAAATCTTTGCGTCTGTGATGTGAAAAATGTCTATATCCTGGCACTGGGCGAAGGTTCTCCTCAACTTACAATGTTAACAGAGCCTGTCCATTACAATAGTTAAGTCACGATGGTTGTAAAGCAGGTCTTCATGTGATCGACCCAATTTTGCCACTTTTTAAAAGGCAATCATTAAGCAAATCAACATGATTGTTAAGTGAATCCGTGGTCTTTAAGCAAATGCCACGGTCGTTAAGCAAACTCATTGTTTGCTACGGGATGTTTTGGCTGAAAACTGGAAGTAAACGCTGACTTTTGCCCAAAACATCATAAATTGTGGCATACTGCCATAAATGTGGGCTGCCTGCTAATTGCCCAAAAGGCTGTCACATGACTAGCTGCCACCGGAACTTCAGAACTGAGTCGTAAATACCATTGGGGTGGGGGGGATGTTGTACCTCTGAATGGTGTGTAAGCGATCAGTCATAAGTCAAGGACTACCTGTAATTCCATTTGTACCACAGCTTTTTTACACAGTTGTAGTTTTAAATAGCAATGCTATGGTCAGATGATGAACAAACAGCAGACGGGGGAGGAGGAGGAGGAGGAGGAGGAGGAGGAGGAGGAGGAGGGGGAGAAGGGAAAAGCTATGGATCTCTATCCAAAGGTTTCTTGCTCTTCACTCCTAACTTGGCCTCTAAACAGTAAGTGGAAAATCCAGTGATACAGGTTGGGTTAGGAGTTTGGAATGAATCTGTCATTCCTCAGTCATGCGACTGCATTTTGGACACTTAGCAATCAGTCCTCATTTATGGCTATTTGCAGTGTCCCACAGAACCAATGGTTCTATTGGCTGCATCTATGTGTGTTGAAATATATACTTATAGGCCTCCAAAACTAGACCACCTCTTGATGAACCATCCAACACTGCAGCTTTCAGGAATAACAGAGTTGGAAGACAGTTTGGAGTCTTTCTAGCCCTGTAATGGCGAACCTATGGCACTTGTGCCACAGGTGGCATGAAGAGCCATATTTTCCCACAGCTTCAGCCTGCATGCATACACTGGTCAACTGATTTTCAGCCTTCCGGAGAACCGAGGGAGGCCATTTTCACCAATCCACTGGACAAACCGGAAGTTTAGGAACGAACTTCCTATGGGGCCATTTTTCACCCTCCTAGGTTTCAGGAAAGCCTCTGGAGCCTGGGGAGGGCGAAAAACAGGTCCAACAGCTCAACCGGAAGTTCAGGAACGACCTTGACCTGTTGGGCCTGTTTCTTACCTTCCCCAGGCTCTGGAGGCTTTCCTGAAGCCTGGGGAGGGCAAACCCCCCATGAAGTGGAGGGTCATGCATGCATTTGCAGGGGGGTCATGCATGCATGTGCAGGGGATGGGCATGTGTGCGGGCGTGATAGCACGCGGGTGCACAATTTTGGTACACCTTTAGAAAAAGGTTAGCCATCACTGTTCTAGTTCAGGCCTCTGCTCAAGCTAGCGACCCTGTACCATTTCAGACTATTGGTTGTCCAGTTTCTTTAAAAACCTTCAGTGATGAAGCACTCACAACTTCTGGCAGCAAGCCATTCCACTGGTCAATTGTTCTATTAGCTAGGAGGATTTATGTTTATAGGCGGGTTTGCTGTACTGATGGAAACGGCACCTTCAAGACACTAAAAGAAAATCCAGGAATACTCTGATAGCAACACAATTCATTCAGAATATGCAGATTCCTTGTTTACAGCCAGGTCTTTTGAGTCCCATTAACACATCACATTTTGTTCCTTGTGGTGGTTGCAGCAGATTGCTGTGTGGAACACTGCCACCCTGCTGTCTCCCTAGTTCAGGCACAATTTCTCCTCATTGCTTTTTGACGGCAGTGAATCATTCAGACCAGCTTGCAATAATCCCAGTGCTCTGCTTCTTCAAATTTGGGCCATGAATTTCTCCCGTGGTCAATCAGTTTGTGCATTTACTCCTCTCTCAGATTCAGATTAAAGGTTTGAACTTCATCATATGGACTCTGAGGTTCTGGTTGTTTGCCTTTTGATAAAAGGAAAACGGTCCATCTTGGAAACATCAGGCTAGGAATTTGGAGTGGGAATTGTGCATAATTTAAATTGCTTTAGATATAAATAATAGGCAGCTGCAGAATATAGGAAACTTGTCTTAAATTATTTATTCTCCACATAGTCTTCCAATTATTCTCAGTAGCAATGACTTCCTGTCTTTTCATCACAGTTTCCTGGATCTTTTCATCTGGATGCACCAACAACTGAATATGGACCATAGAATCGTAGGGTCGAAAGGGATCTTGAAGGTCTTCTAGTAGTCCAGCCCTACATGAGGATGTAGAAGAGTGATCTCCTACTTCCTCAATTCAGAATGTGGTTCTATGTGATTTACCAGGGAAGGGTTTTTATTTTATTTTTTTAAAGAAGACTAAAATTATTTAATCATGATGACAGCCCATTAAAGGGGCATTTTATTTTTATTAAGATTACCCACAGAAAGGGAGATAGATGTCACCATTTCAGCTTCCTTATGGATGGGAGGCAAATGGAATTTATCCATATATAGACCTGTACAATATCAGAGACATAGTTCTATAGGGGGTTTCACAAAGTTGAACATAGTCTTCAACAAGCTCTCCCATGATTACTTCACCCAATCTCCTTGACTGCGCAAATCAGCCACGTTAGACTGGTCTGGAAAGCCATGAATCACCTTCTGATCTGTAAACACTCCTGAAGCTCAGTCAATTAATTTTCAGCGCTGGGTCTTGCCCCAGAAGATATGTTTGCAAAATGTCACGGTGTTTCCTCTGGAGCTACAGAGAGGTCAGTTCTCACTGCTGGCGAAATGCCCTTCATCCCTTCTCCTGGAGCCTGCTGCTGTTCTCCCTCTCCTGTTCTTCTAAAGAGAAGAGTCAGTGGCTCTGCCACATACTCCATTCATTGGCATTTTGATTTCTTTTTTTCGATGCTGATGAACATAGCAAAATTGAGAAGAAGGGTGAGGAAAGGGGGAAAGGCTTGTTGCTATTTTGTAAGCCCTTTCCTTTTTTGTTCCTCACCTAAAGACCGAAAGTGCAGGCTACTTGCACCATAAAACATAGAACTAGTTTGATCCAGTGCCACAGGTGGCACGCAGAGCCTTCTCTTGAGGGCACATGAGCTGCCGGCCCAGCTCAGCTCCAGCGTTAATGCTGGCGTGCCTCCTGCCGGCCAGCTGATTTTCAGCATGTGTGTGTGGGGGTGCATGTGGGAGATGCACATGCATGCGTGGGGGTGGGGGGCACATGCACGGGCAGCCCCTCCATGGCCCGTTTTTGCTCCCAGGAGGCTGTAGGGAAGCCCACTAAGCCCAAAGTGCGATGCAGGGGGGTTATGCATGGATCCGTGGGGGCAGGGGGACTGTGGGATGTCACCCGTGCATTCATAGGGGGCGGGACACACAGGGTTGTTGCGTGCACATTGTATTATGGGTATGAATGAACATATGCCCTGTTGCACACATGCATTTTTGGCATATGACAACAAAAAGGTTAGCCCTCACTGGTTTAGTGGTTAAGCCTTCAGGCTAGAAACCAGGAGACCATGAGTTCGAGTTCTGCTTTAGGCATGAAAACTGGCTGGATGAATTTAGGCTAGTTATTCTATCTCAGCCCAACTTACCTCAAAAGGTTATTGTTGTGAGGAAAATAGGAGGAAGGCATATTAGATATATTCACCACCTTGAGTTATTTATGACAATAATAAAGGAATATAAATAAAACAGTCTGGAAACTATTAGGGAGAATCTGTCTTCACCCTCTTTCTCCACACAACTATTTACAATGTCTCTCGCTCCTCTAAAATTCTGGCAATCCAGATTTTTTTAACACAGCCCTACAGAAAAACATTATATAATATGGTTGAGACAACATCAGTAAGAATCTTTGTGGGGAGCCAAAACACTTTAAAATGATATGTTATAACTTTGGCAATATCAATGTTCTCCAACAAGATCTAATCAGGAAGTCAAAACCATTCTCTTTCTGGAAGAAATTTGGTTCTGAAATACAAAGCTTGGGTAGTGAATGTGCCTTCACTTGGAATTCTCCAAATATGATTGTTGATTCCTCAGAAATAAACCTTATTTTATAGCTGCACATTCAGCTCATTATTTCCCATTATTGCTGAAATAGGAATTTCTCACTAAACCTTTGCTCTGTAAATGTAGGCCTTTGTAGTGTTAAAGTTCTTTCCTGCCTATGATTTAGACTTTCACAATGTGAATAAAATATTATGGTGGTTTTTAAACTGCAAGCAAGAGATGCCAAAGGCTTCTTTTCTTTTCTTTTTTTGCTTCTTTTTACAACTTGGTTAAAGAGGGAACGTTATGGCAATAGGGCTTAGACATGGGAAATCTGTACAAAAACTGGCAAAACGGGATTGCTATCTGCCTATTACATCTTGAGAAATTTCCTTAAAAAAAACACTTCCTCTAACTAAATGTATCTGTGTCAAGAGAAATGCTCAACAGAACAGAAACGAAATACTCAGAATAGGTTATGTTTAGCCTGGAGAGCTGAAGATTAAACAACAGCAGGGGCCACGTCGACTGTTTTCAAGTATCAGAAGGACTACCCCAGAAAATGAAACAAGTAGCCACGTTCACATCGCACTTATCAAGTCAAAAACCTAAGATGTCAACAGGGGTGTCTGCAGAGAGGGTCAACAGAAGTCAAGGTGGTGCTTTGCTTGTATAGGATGGGGTTTTGCTTGTCATTATTTTTTTAAAAAAAAACATCTTTTCTGCAGATACCCTTGAATTTCATCCAAAAATAGTAGCCTGTTTGTTTCTGAGTTAAGACTGAGAACAACCCCCTCTAAAATATGCAAGATTAGTTGCTGAGTGACTCATCTCTTTTTTTTTCCCTTTGTAATCTCAAGAAATTAGCCCTGTCTTTGAGCCTCTGGCAGAGACAGGC